CTGACACTAACTACAGCTATCACTGTGTCTATCGGTTCATTTTCTTTGATCGGACTTTTAAATGATTTGATGGATATTTCTGGGTGATTATCATTCATATCTGTTACGGAGATTTTTACTTTACACTGCCCTGATAAACTGTTGACTGCCTTATCCCTTGCTATGATTTCCATTTCATAAGTTTGAATGTCTTCGTAGTTCATCATTCCCTTCACTGTTATTTCACCAGTGGAAGGATTCAGGTTAAACGATCCTTGTGTTTTTTCTGAAGTGTACAGACTATATGTATATTCGATCTCGGCATTTGTCCCTTCATCTAAATCTCTAGCATTCAGCTTTATAACAAGACATCCAACTGGAGAGTTTTCCATAATATTAACGTCAAAATGTTCTTTTTCGAAAGTTGGGGCGTTGTCATTCGTGTCTACCACACCAACAACAATACTGGCTGTGCCAGTGCGCGTGGGGATTCCACCATCCACAGCAGTGAGAATTAAATTGTGTACTGCTTGCTTTTCTCGGTCCAAACCCGTCTTTAATATTAAATCAGCAAATTTGGATCCGTCTCTTCCGGTTTGGATTTCTATGTCAAAGTGCTCACTTTCGCTCAGAAGGTATGTTTTGACTGAATTGGATCCTAGGTCTGGGTCAACAGCGTTATTAACGGAGAATCTCTCACCAGCTGCAGTGGATTCCATAATGTCTAAGTTTATAATATCTCGTCGAAAATGAGGAGCGTTGTCATTGATATCCATTATCTCAATTTCGATGTAAAATATTCTTTGCGGGTCCTCCACGATAGCCTCCATTTTTAGGTAACATGTCGTTGTCTTTATTGCACAGAGATACTCTCTGTCTATCCTCTCAACGATGTAAAGCTCCCCTGATTCTTTGTTCACATCCAGATATCGTTTGCTAGATATGATGTCTAACCGCATCTTCCGCCTGCTCAGAGTCTTCACGTCTAAACCTAAATCAGAAGCTAAATTGGCGACAACCGACCCTTCCTCCAATTCTTCGGGAATAGAATAATGAGTGACGGATATAACCGTGTTCACAAGAGTACCTATAAACAAAAGCGCAGACACATACCTCCTCCATGACTTCCTAGTGTTATGCATTGTCATTACACCGCTAATTAAATGTTCCTTTTCAGTGAGTCCATAAAGATGCAGCATGAAAAATATCCAAAGATAATACACCTTTAGGATGTTTATCAGAAAAAAAACCCTTGTATTAAGACACGTGAGCGCGGAATAAATCCATTAAACCCTGTTCAGCACCAGGACCTGTCCAACCTGCTTTTGTCCGGTCTGTCTCTGGATGAAACACTGTCATGGCGCCTGTATAATCACCGATTAGGACATTAAACCGGGGAACAGCGACGCTAAAGTGCAAGACAATACTTCTGAGCATCATAGAAGGTATGCATGGAAGTAATAACAATATTGAATAAATGTAGAATAAATGACAACGGTGTTTAAATTATAGATTTCATTGACTTCTGTATCAAGGTTGCTAGGGGTTTGTAGATGAGAAACACTGATCTTTACAGAGTTACCTGAATAACAACCACGATTCACGTTTCCTCCATATTATAACATTTTCACTGTCTGGGCACAGGAGGAAAGGGGCAAATAACTTCTGATTTGTGGGATTATTCATAAAGTATGGAGCATATATTGTGTATTTAATTGAACATGATTTAATTTACCTGCAGAGTGGAAGCCGCTGAGCCACTCGTGTC